AAACGTCACAAGACCACGTGGTTCGACGTGACGTAATCATGACAGTCACGACCTGAGACCAATGTTTCCAGACGCAACCGAAGTTTCTGTTTCGGTATCTGCTGATGTTTAAATTAGGATTACACAAATATTATTTCACATTTCGCGAATCCGAAGACGTAGAGTTGTTTAGTAGTGCTTTGTGAATGAGAATCGCATGGAAGCCTAAATTTTTCGGAATTGAGCGGAGTTGCCCTTTAAGAGCCTTTTTCTGAGAATTGAAATTCGCAGTTGTCACAGTGCTGGCGACTACCAATGAATCTATTCATTAGGCAATGATCGCCTACCGGCCGATGAGCGACTATCGTACTGTGATATGTCGATGATACATTTATTGATCGAAAATTTTTTTTTCAGATTTCAGAAACATCTGTTTCTCATAGCTATTCAGACATCAGAAACATCTATCCCATACATCATATATCAGAAACATTTGTTTCTTATATCTATTCATATATCAGAAACATCTGTTTCTCATATCTATTAAGATATCAGAAACATCTGTTTCTGATATCTGATATGCGTCAGACCTAGCTGCGGGCACGCAGTTAGCCATTGAGATATCCGAATTGATAGGATCGATGCCAGAAACTAGACACCCGCATATCGATTGTGTAGATAGCATCAATGCCCGAAACCGGACACCTCGATGTCGGGAACATATCGATATCGGAAACATATGTTTTATTATCGATTGATTGACGGCCGATCGTGTACACTTTTCCTACTACTAAAGTCAAATACTTGCAAAAAAAAACTCGGTTAATTGGCGGTCCGATTGTATGCGCACACCTAGCAACGTGAATAAACACTATTTTCTGAGAATTTAAATTCGTAAATAACGGGGAGGTACTGCTAAAGTAAATCGAGGTAACTCAATGTCAAGGCACATCTTTACAAAAGAGGAAACAGGATAAAACATTCGAAGCATTAAGAAAGTAAGTACCCTTCGTGGATTGGTTCCGCAAAAATAGTAGACTTCTGAGTCGCGCGTGAGTTATGTTCCCTCGTATGTGCATTGGGGACAAGTTGGCGTCGTTTTGTGGCACATTGTTTATGTTTTCGGTTTGTGCTTTGTAATTATTCCTTTTAAGTTGATAGAGTGGCCCATCCAACTCCAAAGTCCGGTCTGTGATAACATTTTTGAAAACGACAAATGTCTAAGTCATGGAGAGCCTGAAAATTCATCGACGAATTTGCGAAATATATAGGCTAAACTTAGTGAGTAAAATGACGAAGAAAAAACAGCTTCGAATGCTTAAAATAAGTCGGAAAGCTTTCATGACGCATTGAAATGCAATAGGCAATCTCTGGGCTCACAATCCGTGGTAAACAAAGTGAATGAAGATATCCGAGATGTGGATTCTTAAAGAGATCTCATTTTGCAAAACATGGCATGAAACTTTGAAATGCTTTCTTCACAAAATATTAAAAAACACTTCAGTAGTACAAATCATTTTCAAGATCTTGGCTGGGGTCTCACGCAGCAGACTTTTATCAGGAGGCTATCGAAACACTTGTGCCACGATATAAGAAATGCCTTTACATCTAAGAGAATTCCGGTACGCATCGCGCTGGTGACTTCATGTTTTCCTCACGGCAAAGGCCAGATAAATTCTGGCGTGGTTGTGAGCTTATCCACTTGGTGCGCTAACGCATCACAACCTTGCCTTTCCCGTAGTCCCTCCCCGCTTTCCGCAGGAGTTGAATAGTCGCGGGAGAGGAGGGAAATCCAGCACGGCCAAGTTCGTTAGGGCTCGCGCGCACTCAGCATTCCGCTGTACTTCCGCGGATTGGTGGTACTTGTATATATTTATTCATTAAGCAAATCCTATCGTGTCTTTTTTAGCGAAGAATCGGTGCCTCTGTTGTGTGGTCAGAACGTGGTTAACATTTAGAAAATAAAATAGGCGCTAGAAGGTCGTTGCACTATCACTTAAACTGAAAAAAGCAAGGTGATAAAAAAATAATGAAGGATACATATCCTGTTTACACATCAGAAAACATATAGGTATGTTCCTTTTTACTCTTTCTGCCTAAATACTTGCATCCACACTGAGGCTTTGCCTGACTGTTTGAAGCATGATGATATTTCGCCAGCTATAGTCGGCGGAGTCTATCACGTAGCCCTGAAAAGCTTCAGCCTTGCATGTATATATATTTTTTTCTAATGCAGATTATCCTTTAACCCCGAGCTTTGGAATAGTTATGATAATGTTTTACTTTACAATTTCTTGTGAAGGGTATGTATATTTTATCCTGCCAGTAGGGCAAAACCTTTGATTCGGATCAAAACAAATCCAACTATACCTGACAGATGCCACCAGTCTGCCAGTGTGTCCTCTGGTTGTAGGCGGTTACAAGAGAGCACAGACAAAACCACCTAGAAGACAAGTCCTGCGCATGACGTCATCGTTCGTGGATCCCTGACCCGCCCCAAGCGGGAAAGAGGCTGAGGCTCGACGAGTGTATTGCCGCAAAGCAACAGACGCGTCCGTCTTGGCTTCGCCGTGTAACCGGCGTCTCATGAGCGCGACGCACGCGGCGACACACCTAACGATGACGCGTGGGAAGGAGTGGCCCAGGCCTTGTCTTCTGTGCGGTATGGGCTCAACGCGCTCAATCACGCTGCCGTGCAAATGTGTGAACCAGCCTTTGCTCGCCCTCGAGTAATCATCGTACTAAGTTTGTGGTAACATCTGCAGAAGATCAGCAAAAAAGGTGGTGGATCGAAACTGCTTGGTAATGTATATATCTATCTAGCAATGCCAGATCATGACACCATAGTCCCCTGGGACCTAGAAAAGTACTTTGGTCACCCGGATGATTGTTTTTTTTTTGTTTCAATGTATTTACATTAACGCACACTGCAAAAAATAAAACGTTTAATCAAGAAGTTCGTTTTGCACAGTATAAATTATCGTTTGACATAATCATTTGTTAACCGAAACGTGGTATAGAAATGAGGCCGACGAACTTAACTTACCTGTGCATTCCAGTTATTGTTTAATTCGCACGTCTCGCCGTGGAGGAAGCGTGTGTTTATTTGTAAATAAATAAATAAATCCAAACTTTGGGTAGACTACTGCTGCGTCACTCAGGACTACGAAGAGCTTTCGGTAAAAATAGGGAATAGAGTTATAGGTGTACTATACCGACCATCAGATGGCTATATTGATGATTTTGTTTTTATGAGCGTTTTTGCATGACATAAACGAAAGCTATTATGATTTCATTTTTTGCGGGGCGGGGGGTGATTTCCACATATACATGTCAAAAGATTGCGCCGCAAAACGTGAAAGGAACATGTAGCCGAATTATCAATGTTATGAAATTTATTACTAGAATCACTGCTTGCTCTGAAACATTGATCGACCTAATTGTACGAAAGTCTCGCTTAGTAGGATTGTAGCCGGCACGCTAAGCTATGATATCAGCAATCACTCTCTAATATTTCTGTGCCTAAACAAAATACCACATAGAAAAGCTAATAATATTGAAACTTTTACATTTCAACATGTAACAACTAGTAGCATAAATGCTTTCAAATAAGATATTTCAGAAAATAATTGGGATTCACTATTTTAAATAGACGACGTCAACTTTGCTTATAATGCGTTTCTTAGTGAATTTACCACTGTTTACAAGCGCCACTTTCTTTACAAAAATATGAAAGTGTAAACCAAGTTCAGTAACCCATGAATCACTCCGGAACGTTTCAAAAGATTAACATACTAATATATTATACCATACATTTCCCAAAGCAAGAGATCATTGTCAGCTTTTATGTTATGAATTAAATCGGTATTATTTAACAAAGCTACTACTTAATGCAATATGACTTTAATATACCAACGTTTTTCAGACACAGTCTAGGCGTGCGGATGTTATTTGAAGAAAAAAACACGCAAACTCAGTTTGAAATTTTTGTTCAAATCTACAACCAGTCGAGAATATTATTCACGAAGGACTGTCGTTGGCTGGTCGAGATTAAGAAGCAGAGGATATGCTGTTCGAGATTAAGAAGCAAAAACTGTTTGGGGGAACAAATTACCCGCCTTAGCCGAAGGCAAGGATTGCAAAAGCATACTAACCAGCAAAATAATTAACTAAAATTTACTACTTATGTTTCTAATTAGCGTAAATAAAAATATGGTTCCACTGAGAAACTTGCTAAGCATCAACGAAAAACCACTAAATCAAATCTATCTTGAAAGATATCAGGCAGGGGCAGCAGTTACAACGTTCTGAAAAAAAATATAAAAAGAAATAAAATTGCTCAGTTTGGACGTGCTTTTAGGTTTCGGTTCCTTATCGAAGCGCATATTTGCGCCCGTGGTCTTGCTCCCCGGTGGTCGCGGCGCGAAGCCACCGCCTCGCCTCCCTCGTTGGATGGAGGGAAGTATGGCGCACGTGAGTCGCGCGTCTCGGCCACTGGAGAGCAGGACAGCGGGCGAAGAGATGTGCTCCAATGAAAAACCGAAACGTAGAAACGTGTCGGAATTTTGCGTTTTTATGGAACGCCGTAAAATGTTTTTCCTTGCCCATATCTTTCCAAAAAGACTTGATTTAGTCGTATTCGATGATGCTTAAGAACTTTCTGAGTGAAACCATTTGTTTATTTCACAAATTAAATCATAAATTAGGACGTTTTAATGAATTATCTTACTAATTAGTATATTTTTGCAATCCTTGAAGTTCATCAGGGCTGGAAGTTTGATCCTGCAAAGAGGTACTTTTTATTTGGACAGCATATTTTAAGGGATATTTGAATACTTTTGAAAAACAACTTTCTGTTTATTAGCCGCCATATACCCATAGAATAAATCGTCGCTTCTTCTAAATAAGTTCCTTCCCACTCTACTGCAATACGGAATAAAATAAACATTACACGGTTAGGGCAGACTTGAAAACTGGGCAAACGGAGAAAACGTTTAGAATTTGATAAGTTTCAGGCATACCTTGATTTTGATACCGGCAGCAGGAAATCCACCATTGTCGAAGGTAACTTGTCCAACATGTGAGAACATTACAATACCGGAGACTTCTGTCAAGCCGTAGCAATTATAAAGTGATTCCACGTTGAAGATTTCACGAATTTCACTTGCAAGCGAAATCGGCATCATTGAACCTCCTAACATGATTCGTTCTACACGAGGTACACTATACTTGTTTTTTCTGATTTCATTGACAATATCCTGCATCCGTCCCTGAGCGCCAATTAGCGAAGATACCTGCAAGATAAAAAAAAACAGCCACGTCATACAGTGCCTCTTGGATATTGCGTGAAGCATGAATGCGGAGTTCCGGTCCCAAAAAAAACTGTTTTCCACAAGTATTGTTTTTCATTAATTTTAATATTGTGAGCTTATATATTGCTACATTAATCTAAGGATGCTGCTCGAAGTGTTCATAAACTTTCCCTTGCCACTTTGATAGTTCCGCTCACAGACTTTCAAGAGCTGTTCAATAACTATCTATAAGGGAAGAGAACCAGGCATTAGAGCCAACAGACTAACGATGAGCACTATGCTTTTAAGCCATATATTCCTTCGGCCTATGACACAAGATCTGACACGACGGCAAAATGTTGTCCTGACGCGCCTCATGATCGGTCACACTCGGCTTACACATCGGTACCTGCTGGAGGGGGAAAATCTACCACGATGTGCTACATGCCAAGAGCCCCTCACGACGACCCACCTGTACCTCTGCAAGAAGTATTCGAGCAGTGCCGAGTTGTTAAGTACTTTGCACCTGCAACAAATTCCGTTTCATCCTGTCTCATTTCAGCAGACAACCAACTTTTTTTCTTACAAGGAAGTCTTTACATTCCTGGAAAGAACAGGCCTCTTATGACTTATTTAAAACTAAGCAAGTGTGCTGCATCTGGTGGACACTTTTTCTAGAAACTCATATTTCTTCTCCTAGGTTTTTAAACTGCCATCCAGGCTATCATCATACATGCAAATTCAATAACGTTTAACTAGCGCTTATCGGCGGGAGCAGCCCTTACGCCAAAAAATACACAAATCATTTATCAATGGACGAAAAGTACCTATATATCGAATTGCGGAACGTAAAAGAATGTTAAATCATGATTAAATTGAATACCCAGAATGCCTAAAAACACCAATATCGTTGGCTTTAACAGATGTGATGCAAGCAAGGTGTGAAACCTGGGAACGGGCTCACCCATTGAAGCCCTAAAACACAGAGCCAACGCCGAGGCAGCTGATTGATTTTTTGTCTGCTAAGGTTAGGGAAGGATTACAGTTTCAAAAGATACTAACACGGATAAACGAATCTTATTAACGAATGCAGAAGTCGGATTGTTTCATCAGCTTCTCTTGTCCATATAACTTTAACATGTACAAACGCACTGTTCAAAAACTGATCTAACGCTATTACATCTTTGCGTTGTAGTAATGCAAAATCACGAGCAGTGTAATTTTTTTATTTCAGGCACGTTAACTTTGTTTTATTTAGATCAGACTTATTGTATTCAAAAAGGGGGTGCAATAATTTTAAGACGAAAAGAATTTTCATCTCGTCGTTTTTACTTCGTTTATAGTGTCCCGGAGGATAGAAAAAACAACTCCTTCATTCGAAAATGTCGCGATTCCTCTGCATACTCGCAAAGCAAAAGTCGAACATTTTCCCCCACCTGCAGCCGCGAGTGGCAGCCGAAGGAACTACGGCGAGAAACTTACGTGACCTCACTCGGCTCTAAGCTGCGGCATAATGCCCGCTAATGTCAGCAGAGAGAGGGAGAGGAAGCACCCTCCGAGAGAGCACACAGGAACTTGACTATAATCCAATTAACTGCAAATGTGCAAAAAGAGCTGGACAAGAACGACGAAAATAATCCCTGGAGACGGAGAACAAGAGGGATAAAGGACGAACACAAATCTCCAAACACAGCTAGGTGACTGGTGCGCAACCTAAAAAATCCGCCTGGTCCGGATATCGAGCTGACGACCTCTCCATTTACATTTGAGCCCTCTACCAACTGAGCTACAGGAGCTGTATACCTCCTGTAGCTGGCGTGAGTTCTCATGTTGGGGAGATAAGTCAAGCCTCGGTGAGTTTCGCGACACTAAGAAATGCCAGTCTTCGGCGCTTACCCCGCATTTAGTGGGTCTCACTTGTGACGTGTCTGTCCGCTCCCCACGTCTCATAGCAGAGTTGTTGCAGTGGGGGCTCGTAAAACGTTTAGAGGGGTTCAGACCCTCCAAAACATTCCCCCTCCTCCATCCACTGCCTACGCCATAAGCTTCCCCCTCTTTGCAAATATCAGCTGATCTTCGAACATCTTATCTATTTTTTGCAGAAATGTTTGTTGACCAAAAAACCTAGCACTAAAATTAAGAAGTAATTTTTAATTTGAGCAGAAGTAACTCGGAAAAGGTAATTAAAGTAAACTACTAATTGCCGAAATAAAAATGTAATTGAAAGTTACTAAACTACTCTGAAAAGTAGCTATACTACAGTAACTTGAGCAGTGTAGTTGATCTACGGCTGAGGCTGGGGAAAAAAAAGCACTGTTAAAAGCAGCGCAGGAGCTGAGCGAGACTCACACCGCGCCTCAGGACGCTCGCGCTCTTTAGTGTTTACAGTGCCGTAGCCTTTTCTATACTCACAATCCCTGGCTGCTCGACGACCGAGCCATACAGTGCCCGGTTGCAGATTTGGAGCGTGAGGATATGGTAGCAGAGAGAATTTCTCGGGGAGCCTGTAGTCGGTGCAAAGCTTGTGCAGTGGCGAGGACCCCAAGCATAGTTCTCATAATTGACGAGAAAAGAAGCGGTAGAGCGAGAAACGCGAGGAGCACGAGCGGACATGCATCGCTCGGGAGAAGTGTGCTTCCACGTCTCGCCGCATTGGGGCACTTGTTACGTGGCTCGCCTCTCATCTGTTGTCTGCCGCTCTACCTTTTCACTTTCGGCGGCCGCGTCTTCCGGCGGTCTGCCTGCTTTTGTCAATATAGGGGAGGCTATGACATTGCTTTCTTTCACCCAGTGTCAGCTGAGACGCATTTCAAGCAAGCCAGCCCTGGTAAATTTATTTTGTAGCACGCGTTAGTTTTGTTTATTATACGAAACTGTTCTGAAAAAGAATTGTATTTGCATCAAACTGGTTATTCCGTGAGTTTGACGAGCGAATGTTTTGAAATCTGAGGATGAGTTCGGTGCTTGTTGAAAATAAAAGTCGTTCCTCAGCTCAGTTCTTTTAACAATGCCCAGGAACTGAAATCTTCTGCGTGATCAGTATTAAATTTAGGTCGTCGTTATCAGCTCCATAACAGATATTGATAGCTTTAGTGGTAAAGCTGCAGATATTTCTAAGAAAGACCATGGTGCACTACATTAAAAGGGTGCCTGACATCAAGTTCCGTTTGAACTTTGGGAGAAAATAACAACCCAGCTTCTCTTATTGAGCAAAGTCGCTACTAGAAGAATTAGTTTCAGTTCCTTAAGTGAAGCTGTTTGGTTTGTTTATTAAGCTCAGGTACTGTCATAATGGTGGCCTGCAACAAAATTTCTCTAAAACAACGTTTAGAATTTAGACGCGAGATGAAGCAACGCTTCTTTGATTGTGGCCAGTTGGTGGTTGTTAAACAAAGCAGGCATATGTTGAACATATAAAAGAGAGCTAATTATACAGGCTACGCAGAGAACTGTAAAGTGTTATACTTTGTTTTCGCCCGAGTGGATGGGACACTGGATTGTGCTTGTTTAGTGAAAATACCTTTCTGTAGGTCTATTATAACAAAATGTGTGTGTGGAATGCTGACTGAAGGTAAACACTACATAAACAATGAAAGCAACGAAAAAGCTCACACGAGCCGGGAGAGGGGTTGTACTATGAATGCGTTTTTTTAAAATGTTCTCGCTTATTTCAACACCCACTCATTGCCAATGGCAAGAGAGTCCGTACATGAAAAGGTTGTTTTTTTTAAGAATACGCAACAAAAAAAAACTGCCCTTACGGCCAGGTCTTCCAAATTTACTACAGTAAAACTAAAATACAGCCACATGCGGCCTAGTGTATTGAAACGAGAATAGAAATGCAACGTTCATTTTGTAGTAAAAGTGGTTTTGCGTTGAAATTTGCTATGAAAATGAGTCCCTACCTCCCCTTTATGGTAAATTTATGCGGGTTGTCACAAATTCTTTATTCTGAGAGACGATCGTTATTCTTAATTTCACCCGATATTTCTTACCTCATGGGTCTTGAGAGTCTCCAGGAAAGTTTTGTACGAAATCAAAGGATCAGTTATGACTGTTTTCGTTCCTAAAAGCATGCAAAACATGGCCAGTGCAAAACCCCCCGCGTGGGTGAAAGGAATCCAGCCGAGAAATACATCCTCTTCAGTAAACATACTAACAGAGCTGAAATAAAAGAAAAAGAAAACACGTGTATGTAAATTCAAGAACCATCAGAAACAGCTGCTTAAGAAATCCAGAACCTTTGGCTTTCCCAACTAGAAATTCACTTTTAAGCTCTGTGTGCAAAATATTAGAAATCCTTAGGGTGATCCGGAGGGCAGCAGAGAGGAGAAGACTGTACAAAACAGAAAATGAGATAGAACACGCAGAAAAACTATGGAACCCTTCAATAAAGTTGACATTTGGGCTAGTTGGTAGTCGAACATGTTGAGGTATTTAGCGCACAAGGTAGAGAGAAGGACAGAACAGAAAAGAGCGCTTTTTTCTGTCCTGTCCTTCTTCTCTCTACCTTGTGCGCTAAATACCTCAACATATGAAACCCTTGCTCGAAATGGTTGCGGGCACCAATACCCTGTCGTGTATACTCTTTGAATATAAAGATTTTTTTTTTAGAATAAGTATGCTCATAAAACACGCATAAATAACATAAAGGAAAATACAAGCAAACAACACACAGAAATACGGTGCCCAGTTTCGTTTGACCTGCTTCGATCTTTAGACCGGCGGTTATGACCAGCAGCTTGCCTTGAAACTAAGAACGTGAGTGAGCATGTCTGCAAACGCTTACACAGCGTGTCAGTGTTTCGAAGCTAATTGTAACACGTGGGCCGAACGTTGCGTCAGAAATAGACCCAAATATTTCATGTTTTACACATGGGTTTAGCTCTCAACTTCACCGCTGGGCGCGCGACGGTTCGATCTACTCACCGAAGGAGCTTCAGACCCTCGTCTGAATCCGGGGGAGGGGGGGGGGGGGGGAGGGGGAGAAGAGGGTCTGAGGTTTTCCGAGCCCCCCCCCCCCCCCCCCCCCCCCCCCCCCCCGGCCCGTGACTTTGAGCACCGAACAGCACTTCACTGCCTATGGGCGCAATGTGTTTGATTTCGAGAGATAATACTTAAAAATACGCCTTCCTCTGTCGCTTCACAGCGCTATAAATTATTTCAAGCAGGGTGATATTTACAATTACTATCACTATTTTTTATTATATATAGGTAATTATAGTTAGTTTCATATTTAGTATACAGTGTGGTTAAAGATACTGGAGTCAGCGCGAGACTTCATCTGTGATTTCGTTCGCGGGATAACGCGTGCAAATAATCTGGGAGAACATTCCCCATACTCGCGCCAGCAGCTCTGACAGCGTTGTGCACTAAGTATGAAACAAAGTATAATCTCTATATCCCACTACGCAAGCATTTGAACCGAATGACACGGTGTTCTTGTTGTTTTTTTTTGTTTTTTTTTGGGGGGGGGGGGGAGACATAAACTGCCCTCTTTTTATCACACAGGACCGTATCTAAGGCGCTCATGCACCACAAGCCCGATACTGTACTCGGCCACATAGAGCTGCTTAAAACTAGCTTTCATTGATTTGCTGGTTTCATTATTCAAAATTTTCTGCACCTACATGTTCTGCAAACTCAGCCATCCTGTCGACGTCTGACCGCTTGGAATTTTTTTTTTTTTTTTTGACTAGCCACAGGTAAAACGTCCCCTTCAGAAACGGAAAGCTGTTTTCTGAATTTGAAAACAAATAACCTTGACAAATTCAAGAAGGTGGGTATATCCAAATCGCTGTGTTGGTGGCTAATGCAGCCAGGTTCGCATGCCTTTTCATTCTGTATGTCAGACCGCAAGCTGCCATTTAAACTTGTGACCCTAGATAGATAAACGTAGATGCAGTCGAAGCAAGTGAAGCATCTAGAAAGATATGTAGTCAGAGCATGAAAGGTTTTGTACCTTGAATTTCTGTTCTAAAATACTTCGCGCACCCTGTAGATCAGGGGTCGGCAACCTTTTGCAGCGGTGGGCCGAGTCGTCACGGAGCCGACACGGAAGTGGCCAGACGCCAATTTGTGAAGGTGGAAAGGAGGGGGGAAGGCGAAAAAAAATGCAAGAAGGTAGTGAAGGCGTCCTCTGCCCAAGTTGGGGATGCCGGACAATGCCAATTGGAAGTGGCCTTTGTTCCTGTCTAGACCCATTTGAGGTCAAAAGTGCAGTGTGATTCTTGAGTCTATGTTGAGAAGCGACAGGGGGGTGCTTTTCTGGTGTCGTCCCAGGGACTGCATGAAACTGTCGCGCGGGCCGCATGCGGCAGGTGGGCCGCAGGTTGCCGACCCCTTCAGCAGAGTTTAAATCTTCCCAAGAATTGAAAAACTATATAATCATAATTTCTTTGCTTCCGTAAATAGATAAAAAAATATATATATAACACTGCCGATGTGACATAATGTAACTTGGGTCTCCTAAAAACGGGTGAGTTTTTAACACTTTGATCAGCGCGTACCTGAATGTGTGAAACCCGGCACAGTACGCCTTGTGCGAAATTTCCACACCCTTCGGGGGACCCTCTGATCCTGACGTGTACTCTATTGCGACAACCTCTTCTTCGTTGTTAGTAGGTGCAGGAGGCGTGAATGAGGCGTCTGACAGTTCTTGAAACTGGAGAACATTTACAAAACCGGGCGAGTTTCCCACGGAGAACAATGCCTGCGAATAAGAGGATTTTTTTTTCCTTGTAATAGTTCTGTTGGTTGCACGGTGGAAGAAAGTAATTAATGCATGTGGGCTACTACAATAGAGATATAAAGCGTCAAAATAGTGATAGTATCTCGCTTTGTGAATGAAAAAGAATTAAACTTTCTATGGGTATACGCAAGACAAATGAGCATAATAAGGTTTCTTTTTTTCATTTATGCCTGTAACCGGTAGTTTGTCCAATCTACGCCACCTAGAATAATAAAGTCCGGGCACTGGCACTTTAACGTAATCACGGTGAGGTCGTACATAGACTCAGACAGGTCATGAGTGCGGCGTCATGTTCAGCAGTTAATGCGTCGAGGAACCCGTGGGGCCAGGGCCCAAATGTTGAGTTGACACCACCCGGGTATGATGACATTACGGAGAGGTAGAAAAGGCTGTTTCCAGGCTTTGAATATTTTAGGTGGCGTTGGACCCGTGAAGCAGTTGCCGTCAAATCCTTGATTGGTTTTCTCATTAGAGGACAGTTAGAAAAATGTATCCATTTATCTCAGCAATCAACAAACAATAACACTAATTACCCAGCCAGCACTCACCTAAAATAAAAGATACTACGATTTATTAAAATGGACGCTGACATACCGCAATCCTTTTTAATATTTTGCCAGGCGATTTATTATTAAGTCAGGCGATTACCCAATCAATACTTTTCTCCACAGTCAGTTGTATGTTTAATAAAGCCAAAAAGCTCAACCGCTCAAAACTTCCGGCCATGGGTACGGAAGCTCATGGCCGGAAGTCACGTGGCAACACGCGAAGGCATTTTTTTTTTTTTGCTTCTCTGGCGTGTGACGCAGACAACGAAGAAGTTGCGTGTACCGCGTGTAGTGCAATTGTTTCACACTTCTATCCCTTCCGCTCGATGGTCTGCGCTTAAATGGCGACTAGCCTCTACCACGAACGACAGTTCCGAAGTAGCGGCCCCACATCCGTCGCAACGTTGGTCCACCGTGTGCCACCATCGTTTCGTGTAGCCCGTGGCACGTCGTCATGCTGAGAATGACATGTACACGTACTTTCTGTTGTCTGTGCAACATTTTTCTTGCGATCAACGTGTTTGCAGCTTTTTAAGGCCACAAAAAGGGGGTTCATACTCTTTTTTTTTAAGATTGAACGTTTGGCTTAGACGACTTACGATTTTGAATATATTTGGTAGATATAGTTTGAACGCCACGTGACCACAGAAAAGGGAATTTAGCGCGACTAAAACCACCTAGTTTTCGACCGGGTGTTTTTGGCGAAAATGTAAACAACGTATTTCGAGCTGTAAACTATGTTCTGTATTTTCTGGTTCTTAAAGGTCATGTTCAAATAAAAAAAACGGCGAGCATAAATACCCTGCCAGTGTCCCTTTTACGGGTGGGATCATAATGGCAAACGTTCTCATTTTCTGGTGTAACTGAAGAAACACCCTAAATATAATATTTTATTCTAGGGAATAAATATATATAAAAAAAACCTTTTATAGCTTGACCAAAGGTCAACATGATAAATAGGTAATAATATCTCACCTTAATTTTTGACGGCATTGCCACCTTGGCAGCATTTGGTGCGCTTTCTTGATCAGTTAGTAGGAAAGTGCAATGGGAGTCTTCAATCGTGAACAGCAATTCCCCTATAAGAGTGATGTAACAATAGGTTCTCTTTCTTTAAATGCTACAATAAGAATTCTCTATTCAGAGGAATGCGTTGAGGACACTCACTTGCCACGTAGGCCGCTTTTGCCATGACAAGCGTACCGCCCGCGAACACAACGCCAAAGGCTGCTGCTACAGTTTCAGCCGCGTTGCCAATATACGCACACACATTGGAGCCCGGTTTTACACCGTGTTGCTGATAACCAACCGCATATTTACGTATCTTTTCCAAGAGCTGAGAGCCGGTCAAACTCTGATGGCTGTCAACCTAGAAGAAAAAAAAAATGGGAAGTGTATTGAGAAAAAATAAAGTGCTTTAGACCGGACTCGTGGTGCTAAAGCAAACCTATTTTCCGAACTTCGCCTCGGTTTTGTCCATTACGCTCCGCTCTGTGCGTGCCGCTATGGCTCGAAAAAGTTCTCGCACCATCAGCGCCTACCTTCGTTGGTGTAAGAACTAATGGTATGTTCCCGTGCGAAAGCGGCGGCTTAAGGGAGTGCGGGACTGGCCATGCGGCGCACTTTTGTGACTCGACAGAATAAATCACACCATATTATGCAGGGTATCTTTTTTAGCTGCGTGAAGTTTAGAAAACAAAAAAATTGCATTGAGACACGTATAATTTTGGGATTAGCTTACCGACTCGGCGATCACTGAAAACAAGATTATTTTTGCAATTGGGCGGCTAATTAACTGATTTATTTTAATTAATTTTAAATAGTGACTTTAGAGGGTCTATTGGAATTCCGATACTTATGTTATGATCTCAGGGTTGTAGGCTTCAACCGTTAGCTGTAATAAACATGACATAATTTGGACGCCACCGGCCAATATATTTTACTTCTGAAGGCTTCCTCAAACCGAAAGTGTGTGAGTGAAAGCGTTTTTTTTTTGTTTTTTTTTTCAGGCAATGAACACTAGACAGGGAGTGGGGGAGAGCGCCGGTGGCCACATGGCCTCAACGCAGGCGTACGATGGTTGGCTCACACGTAGACGTCCAGCCTGGCATCGTAAATGAAGTCAAGTAGGCGGTTCAGGAAGTCCGGTTGTTTGTCTGAAGGGCGGAGGAGTGTGTTCAGTTTTCCAGGGTGTCTGTGTCTGGAAGAGAGTGCTTCCTTCTGATATCTTGATTGTGGGGGCGGGGGGAGGGGGGCGTCTCCGGAGGACATGTGGGTCATCCACATTTTCGTGAAGTGTGCATCCAGTGCATTCGCCAGTCTTGCGGCCCTTGTCCTACTTAGCTATGCGGGTTGGGGTGCAGAGGATGTTGACTTTGATTTTAGTGAGTAGAACACTTTTACGCCGACCGCAGCCCGGAGCAAGGCGGAAGGGCGCTAGGGGGGGAAGCAGTTGCAAACTTCAAACTCAAGCAAAACTTGAGTTTGCAGTTTTCCATGATCCGGAGGTGTTCCTCCTCGCGGTCGGAGTCTTGGGGGTCCTGGGACGTCTCCTGCTGATTGCAGCCCCATAAGGGGCACCTGTGAGAGCATTCGTTTGGTGAGTGGCGTCACCACAAACCCCGAGCCAGTCGGGTTCGGCCGCCCACGTCTGGCTGTGCGCGGCTTTCCCGTGTGCGGGGAAAAGGGCATCCTGGTGGTGGTGTCAAGCCCGGGGTAGGTTTGAACCCTTCAAGGCCCCCCGGGTGAGGCGATACACCACTTCGGCCCCAGCTTCCCGGAAACGGGTGTCCTGGCTTGGCCCGAACAGGATGATTCAGTCAGTCGCCACTTTTACTATCTCCTCCCTTCTTTCACCATTACATTCCGCGCCTTTCACTCTTCTCATTTCTTTCCTTTCCTTTTTCAACTCGTTTGGTGGAAAGAGCTAACATTGGGTGGCAACAGACCCCTTGTCGAAAACCACACTTGGTTATAGTAAATGGACAGTGCTAATAGTGTAACGGTTCCAGCAAAGCCCTTTTTTGTTATCGTCCGATAACTATTCCCGCGTTAAGCTCCGTTGTGAGCGGCACACCATGGGTTCCCGAAAACCTCCCCATTCATATGGGTTCCAAACTTTAACCTTCCGATCGGCCCCCCAAAAGGGAACGCACCGATGCATATCTACCACCCTTGGACATGAACAACACTGGCTATGTTACTAAGTTCTTTATCGTACGTGCCGAAGTTGAGACGTATCCGATGTCGAAACTCTCCCCTTTTCTTGTGGCTAAGGTCTTAAAAGAGTAGATAGGGGAACAGTTTAAAGCAAAAAAAGACTTTTTCTGGCGACCTTTTGGTAGAAGTATTTCAGAAAAATCAGGCAGGGCAGCGTTGCTACACTCTAAGGAAAAATGGAGGAAAAAAGTATCAACGGCGCGTCTTCCTCCCTTCTCCTGACGCGCCCCCAAGCGGGCACGAGAAAAGGGGAGGAACGAAACGTTTTTTGTCCTTCTCCAGGCAGACGGGAGAAAGCTTTCGCCCTCCCGACTCATCTTTCGGTTTCGTTTTTCGAGCAGGTCGCGCACGTTGTTTAATAAATAGCTGTTGAGTTGATTGAGCTTCAGCGGGAGCGAAGGCCGCCTGTAATTACGTCTTCTAGTCTAGACGTGCAGAACATTCCGGTTGGATTGACGTTTTTAACACTAATTTTATCAAACGACCAAACGAAACCGCTAGAAACAGCGGAGTTCCGGAGCAGAGCCAGCAGCGCCACGTACCCTGGGTAAGACGGCCGTCTCCGGATCGCGGGACTTTCGCGCTCACGCGGCACGGAACTACAGTAGCGAAACCACGCGGAACTGTGGCGACGTTTTCGACGTTATGGAAATCGCAGGAATTGCTTCCAAGACAGGTAGGTTTTGCTGCCGGCTGCCTGGGTGCCTTCCGTGCTGAGTTCGGTTTTGTTTTCCGATGCCGAGTGCAACCGGCGTTCAACGTGGTTCTGTATTTGTGCGTGTCAGCAACTTAGCTGCAACATCGTGATGGCAGTGTTGTGGGTTGTGAACAGAATACTGGAATTATCGCCGATGTGACCGTGTGTTCGCGTTTCAGTGGTGTAACAACAAGATGAGATCGTAAACTGTCGGGCGTTGATGCCGCTGGTCGGGCCGTGATCGGAGGGGGCGGGGTGTCGCAGGTTGACATTACGCTTTACATTAAAAAGTTTAATACCACTTGAGGGATTGATGCAATCGATCGACGTGCGGATAGTCATGTTGAAACGCTTGTTTGAACAGTAAGCTCCTATCGTACAGTGGCCAATGTGACTGTCGGTTGTCTCGTCCCTGAGAGCGATTGCGCTCTGGGGCAAGGACAACAGTACGAAATTATGACGGAAAGTACGTATATTTAAGGTGTGGAATTTTAGCATAAAAAATAGTAGATAAAATTGAGAAAAAAAAGCTACCCTTTATTTTGTTGTTTAAATATACTACGGTTCCTGGAGAAACTACCCTCCAAGTGGCGCGCTGGGATGAACGCCAGAGGTTTTCGAGCTCGCCACGGCGTAGCTCCGTTCGCTTAACACCTGCCGCAAGTCGCGGTTTTCACGGCATTCAAGTTGATCGAAAAGCGATTTTTCAGCCCGTGAAGCATTACTTCCAGCTGAGTGAATATCCGCTCTACAGAGATTGGTTCAAGAGGGCAATTGCAGCTTTGCGTGAACAGCACAAATAGAAAAACAAGTACTACAATAGAAATACAGGCTACAACGGGCCGTACGGGGAATCAAACGCATGGTTTCGAACCGCATTGGAGCGGCTTGATTTATTGGCTTTCAAATAATTACGGCATGATCGAGCGTTTGCTTTTTAATAAGAGATTCATCCCCTGAGCCATTCAAAACACTCTCAGAGGTACGACATTGCTGGGACAAAATCAGCATGCTGGGAATATTTTTTATTGCTTATTCAGTCACCGAGAAATTCCGTCTGTTCAAAACGACCAGTATAAAAGAAGGAAACGCAGAGCGCGGGGCAGTGTTCGGATTAGTGTGGTGTTCCGGTATATTGATATTTGTATGTGCCGTGCATGTGCTCCATGCATGTTCATCAGATGCTTGTAATATGCGTAATGTGTCTATAGTAGAGGATCCCTAAGCGCAACAGTGGCCTGAGGAAATCAAATTATTTCTTTGTAGAACATGAATTGGGCGGTACCTAGCACTACCTAGCATAGCTACTTGCAATTACTCTGCTTGACCCTGCCATCTGGTGGCTAGCGATTTAACTTTCTTTCACGCTACGCGGTAAACAGCGGCTTCGGGTTTGTTCTTTCGAGAGCGTCTTTTGGTTTCGCGGATCGAGTTTGCCCTTCTCCGTGATGTGCGGTTGACGAAGGAGTTGTGACTCGCGGAGCACCAAAGGTAAGACGTAAAGTGCGCGAAGTAACTTGGTATCGGTTGTCACCGTTTAACATCGCAGTGCTGTCGACGAGAAGACTGAGTAACTGCTTTCGGAACGCAAGTTTCTGTACCTGCGGGGGGAATCTGGCTTCGTAAATAAACACAGTTCGCGGAAAACGCGTGTTACTCTTTCATTTGCTGCTCCTCTCGTTCCGTACAAGAGACATAGCGTCCTCGTCAAGCCTTATTGGGTTCGATTTGCTCGATTCGGGGCCGCCATATTGAGATGCAAGCGACGTAGGAACGTTGCTCCCCTGCTTCAGGGACGAAAGTTTCTCCCTTTCTAAAGGAATATAGGTTACAAGACCGTTCCTCCCTTAAGGGAGGACTATCCATACCTTTTTTTTTTCTAAGAGTGTATGCCTCAACCAAATCCTTGACACGAAAGTGAGCGTCTCTGCACACCGCACACTCACACCATTCGTGGTTTTATATATAAGGACGACCTAATCGAGAGTGAGGAGCAAGAGATTATTGAAGGCATGCGCAGCCAGGGTGTTGTTGCTGTAAAGCGCATTAGCATCCGTAGAGATGACAAAGAACTTCCTACGCGACACCCGGTCCCTACCTTTGAGCTCAACAGTGTGCCTACTTCCGTGAAAGCGGGGTACTTATATTGCAGGATCCGGCCTTACATACCAAATCCTGTCCGTTGTTTCCGCTGTAAGCGCTTTTGGCACGGCTCCCGGTCCTGCCCTGGCCGTCAGACATGTGCCAGGTGCGGTATCTCTGAGCACATCGCCGACGACTGTCATGAAGACATGAAATGTGTCAATTGTAAGCAGCCCGTCATGTGAACACTAAAAGAAAAAAAAAAGAAATTCTGATTCTGAAAGTGAAGGAAAACATCTCATATCCTGAGGCATAGCGTCGCCCCTTGGGTTTTTAGAGGGGCTCTTTTGCCGAGGTGGTGCGTCGGGGAC